TGGCTGCAGTGTCAGGACTTGCATCTGCTTGCTGGATGCTGTAGCCTCACGTGCCTGCGTGGTGGTGTCCAGCAAATCACAGCCTTGGTGTGCTGGGGGCCAGCTGAGATTCAGCAGGTCCTGTGGAGCCACTTGTCAGCCCTGGAGCAATGGAAGGCCCTGGTAAACACAGTGAGGGAGCTCTCCTGTATGCAGAGAGACCATGAGGACTGTAAGTCACGCGGATTTAAAATGTCTCAAGTCACTGTCTTGGAAATCAGCTCAGTGGAATCTGTATGTAGTCAGTTGCTCAGAGGTGAAAGGATTTCTTTACAGTAATTGGGTAACTTAAAATACACTTTACGCAAGCTCAGTTTGTGCTTCGTTAGAGTGCTGATTTACATGAGAGGGGGGACACAGAGGCACGGGAAGCGTGTTCTTCCATTTCGTGTAGTATGAGACGTCTTGCTACTGCTGGGCAAAGCCTCCGAATTCAAAAGCAGGAACCGTGTACAGCCCGAAGTAGGCATACACACAGGTGACTTGCAATTACAATAAGGTGGTAAGTAGAATTTATTTTCAGCATGGAGTCATGTTGCTATTAAATTTGAATCATAATCATTATTAGCTAACTTTTCTTGTCACATTTGAGGCTGGTGCAGGTTCTGTCCTTTAAATTAGTTTCCCGAATACTTGACAGATAAAAGAAGATGTCTGCCCTCTTAAAGCTCCTTTTCTGTGAGTCAATACCACGTAATACACAGAAGTACTGGTTTAGGCCAGTGACAATTTAAGACAGTTACGGGCTGAAATAATGAAACAAAACAGGACATGAACAAAATTATGACAATTACTTAAATTGTCCTTTATGTATTCCCAATTAAATTTGATCAAAAGTATCATGCAGTGTAAAAAACCTCTTATTTTGCCTCTGGTCCAAAGACTGGATTTTTTGCCAAGACAGAGGTGGCACTTGCCCCAAACCACTTCCAAGGTAGAATGGAATAGTTGACATGTTTAACTTGAAGATGTCTCTATGTCTGTCTTGCCATCAGGCAGGAAACACCTGAGGTCCATCAGGACTCGGGTCTGTGAGACTGCCAAGGTCTTGCAATTGGATCCAGCAGAAGCGAGGAGCTGGCAGGTTCTCATGGTGATGTTTATTGTGGCTCCCAGACACCTGTTTGACATCAACAGCCATCATCTCCAAGAACTCGTATCTCTGAGGACTCTAGCTCAAAGTCAAGCAAATGAAATTCAGTACAAACCAAGAATTTAATAACATCCTGAGAGGAGTTTTTCAGCTTCCTCACATTCCAAACTGTGACAACCTTAGGCCATTATTAGTGATGAAGACAACATTTCATGTTCTGCTTCATGTATGAATGTGACTCCTTGAGTACTGAAGAATCTGCAAGGGAATGGAACAAACCATCCTGAAAAGAATTAGCAGGAAGTCATTATTATTTATCGCCATATGAAATACATGGCTTGGAAACTACCTCACGTGAGTGGATCTCCACGACTGTGTAGCTTTTAGTTTATAATAGTTCTTCCTGTGGGCTCTGAGCTGTTCCTTCTTTTTTTTTGTTCTCCCTATTATGTATGTCCTTGAATGGGTAATGATTGATTGGTGGAGGAAGAGTAGTTTTACCTCATTTAGAGGAGTGAATGAAGGCTTTCTATGAGTTCTGAGCTGGTTGGGACCTTTTAGCTAATTGTGAATGGCTTTCTCCAAACAGTCAAAAGTTCTGAGCGGGGGGCGGTTGAGGCGTGCCCACCGCCCCACCCTGCTCCTCCCTCTCCTGTTCTAACAGACACGTTGAGCAGAACTAGGCTGGGGAACAGCTACATGCACAGCGTGAGTCAGCAGAAGAGGCCCGGTGGTCGGACGAGGACAGGCAGTTCTGAGCAGTCTGAGCAGTAACATCTTCTGCTGGGTGAGAGGCACCCAGAGAAACACATCTACATCTATGTAGCCCTACACTGCACAAAATACTGAGTGTTACGGAGGCGCATAGGGTGGGGGAGATGGTGGGTTTGCATCTGTGTGTGATGCCCTGTTCACTGAGGACCATTCAGAAATAGGCTTTTGGGAGAAGTGAGCTATGCACACCTTCCACTGTATGCTCCTCGCTTTCAAACCTGCGAGCTGTTATTGCTGGGATCATACCCTCGTTTTTTTGGATAGTAAATCTCATGATAAACATTTTCTTTCATGCTGTTAAGCTGGGCTTTGTGCCGAAGTGCAAACTGTAGCTTATCTGTCACCAAATGCGCAGTCGCAGCTCATCCTGTCCACAGCTGTAGAGATTCGGGGCTGTAGTCCAGCTTCAGTGGGCTGTACGAGAATTCACACCTTGTCTTCTCACAGGCAAGAAAATTCGCCCTTAGCTGAGAGCCCCGACAGGACCCACACCTTACCACCCGGGACAGGAAAGGCTGATTGACCCTGTGAGCTTGCTGTGAACTGGTGCAGGTGGACACCGAGTGTGTAATTCAGCACCTCTGCCAGACCTGTGAGCGGAGGCGTGTTCCTCCCAGCCCGCTGGACTGGCGTTGCTTGCTGCCCTACACGCACCGCGCTAAACCCACGACACTTCCCCTGCCCGCCTTTGGTCCGCTGCTGCGGTACGCAGCAAACAACTTGCTTGTGCCCGCCCGGATACTGTGGAATGATAACTTTAACAAGATTTACCCTCCCCGCGCATCTTGTCCAAAGCTATCACCTTTACTCCAGCTTCAGAGAAGATTATGGTTTACATACTGGAAAACCACTAGGTCTGCGCTTGTCCAGGACTTGACCGTGATTCTGCCTTATGAAAGTGAAGTAAGTTCTTCTCTGGGGAAGGAAAGAAAAAAAGGCGCGTAAAACTATTTACTGCTATCTTCTGATTTGTTCCGTATCTCATGCAGCTTGAATAAGAACTCACAGTCCAGCTTTCCAAGTCCACAAAATTACTTTACCTTAAGCCTGTGAATTATCCAGCTGCTTTTCTTTTCCTCAGTCTCTTTTTTTTCTGCAAGTTTCTAAGACTATTTATTCTGTGTGTGTTAAGTAACCTCTAAGGAACTTTCCTTAAATGCATTTCAGCATTTTATGATGAAAATATTCCAGTTTGAAGTTCTGATCCTCAACCTGAAAATGGAGTGTCTTCATTTTGCTACAGCATCGCTCAGGAGTATGAAAGATGTCAACAGCAGACAGGGTTTGGACTTCATACAAACCTTTCTCTATCAAGGAGAGCTTTAATTTAAAAAATGAGATGAGAAGTGTGGGGGTTTTTTTCTTTTAAGATGCTGGAGCTCTTTAGCATTTTAAAGGTTATTATACAGTCTGATGCTTCAAATATTAAGGTGAAAGCTGCCCATTAATGACCTGTAATGAATATTTCATTTTCTCTCCATATATGGAAATAACAGAAAATGAAATGTAATGAAAATGAACTCTAAGAATGACATTAATCAGTTATGAAGAATAGCATTTATTAATATGACCTGGAAAATGTATCACCTGCCACCACTTAGACGACTTTTACAGCTTTAGTAAGATCAGTAACAGGATGTTTACAGTTACTCTCTCAACCGGCGTAGAAACATTTATACATTTTATTGAAGTAGTAAAAAATCCTGATCTTTGAATTTGCTCTCAATAATGTGAGATACATGAAATCGTATGTCCACAGACATACCCCTTCCCACCACTGCAAAATCAGAGTTTCCAAAGCAGCTCCATTTTCTGGTGACGAAGGTCTCAGTCTGACTGCGTAGTCGGTGCAGTCTTCTCATAGTCTTCAAGGGTGTCAGGACCAACGGTGCCTTGGTTTTAACAGTCATACTGTAAGAACTCTTTCGGAAAGGCATATCTTTTCATTTTGGAGAATGGAATGAGAATTGAAGGCAAGCTATAGGATTGCTTCTGTAACTTTTGGTTGGAATGGCGTTACTTCTAAAAGCAAAAATCCCCCTTTAATAGTTCTCAAGAATGTCCTTTTCCCTTTTTTCATATACCTACTACAAATTGATTAGAATCTTCAAAGTAAAAACTGAAGTGAAGTCCTTACATTCTTCATCACCCTTCAGCACAGACAGGCTGAGAACTAACGAAGCAGAGAGCAGTATGATCGCAAACTGGCAACCCCTGGAGATGAGCCTGCTGTGGTGCATCCAGCTGCACCTGTAGACGCGTCCCTGTCAGCTGGATGGCGGCTGGGGACGCCGGGCATCCCTGCAGGAACTTCTGCTTGAACACAATTTTTAACTCTGTGGGGCAGAGCTTCATGGATTCCTGTACATTCTAGTCTGCTGTTCCCAAACCAGTGGGTTCAGTGGATGAAAGCGCAGGTTGAAAAAGAATTCGTAGCTGAGTTTTTGCTGTTTTCCTAACAAAACCTGGGTATATTGAAGAAAGTGACCATGGGTATCCTGTATCAGCTGTATAAATTGTACCATTTAGGTGTTGCATGTAAGTGCTACAATCCCAACTGGATTTGTGACTTCGTCACTAACACACTCAGAGCCGTACTCTGAACCGGACCCTACTCAGATTTTCTTTGTCCTGAAATGCAGGTAGTTAATGTCAAACTAATTGAGTCGCTTTCAAGAAGACAAACATCTGTTGTTGTTTTTCAAACTTGCAGCAGATGCAGAAAGATGAGTTATGTCAGTGCAAAGTTGCTTTTGTATGATTGAAGAAAATTGCTTATATGTAACCAGAAAGTACTGAAGCGATATGCAAACATACAAACATCTAAACACAAAACACCTTGTTCATTTAGTAAAAAAATCCAGAGAAAATGTGGTATCAGTGAAACTTTTCTTAAATGACCACGAAAAATATGCTGTTTAAGTATCCTGTCAGAATTATTTCTAAGAGAAAATAAGCATGACTACTAATTATGCTTCGGGATAAATACTAGGCTTAAGAGAGAGAGAGCTTCCTCAACCTTCGTTCTGTTGTTTAAGCTTAATTATATCAGGTTTTATTGATGGTAACTATGTTGTGTGCTGATGAGTGTCTTCTAATCAGTCTTTTTAGTTTTCCTGTAGTGCAGGATTGTGGCTGTGACCCAGATATTGAGAATGAGCATGGTTATGAAACGGATGAGAACTAAAAGGGGGGGAAAAAAAATCTAGTCAGCATAAATTCAAAAAAATCAGCTGCTGTCATTTTCAAAAGACACGCTGTTTTGTAAACCTTCTGGTGTACAAACAGGCTGGTTCCCATTCTGCAACTCTTTTCAGTCAATTAGTTTAATTACCTTGTTTAGGAACCCAGAAATTCTCAAAGTAAATATAGCAGAGAAGAGCATTTAGCATGTGCAGGTGCTATGTGAAAAGAATACACTGCAGTACCTTGAATTCCTTTGTGACAAAACCAGGAGAACAGCACAAGTTTGAGCAGCCTCATATAAATTTATACTTACACCAAAAATTAAAGTTGGGAGCCGCAGCTCACATCCTTTATAGTTGTGTGTGTTGTTTATAATAAAAGGATTATTCTCTACTGCCACCTGTTAAGTTTAGACTTTAGGGAGACCGGAAATACTTGTGTCTGTCAGATTTTAATGAAAGGAAATCTGACAACTGAGAAAAAAGCAGTTTTTCAGTATCTTTATTAAATTTCAGATTTTTTTTAAACCAAAATAAGCTTAGTATCTCTACCTGTGAGACCACAGTTTGAAGTGTATCTAGTATCAGTTTGGTAAATGGAATATTCATGGAAATGTACACAAAACTTTGTTTCAGAAATATGTAGTATTTGACAATTTCATATGTGTGCATGAAACCAAGATGCACATGTCAAAACATTCAGTGTTAGAAGTTAACTGGAAACTTTTCCCACTAGACCAGCACTGTATCAATATCTGCTGCCACCTCCTCCATGTTCCAAAGCGTTCTGTGCTGTATTTTAAAAAGCAGCTTTAACCAGAGCCAGCTTGTTACTTTCATGCTGGTTTCCTCCCTGCCTTCCTCCCCTCTATATACCTCTCTTGCTCTTAATCGGCAGAAGTGTGCAGCCATGGGGGAACTGGACTCGATAACTGACCCAGACTAAGTTTCTGCGTGTGCATTATGCCATTCTTTGGTGATCCCGTTAACTGCATGCCCCCCCAAACTCTTACTCTGGCAAAGAGAAAGCAGCAAGTACGGGGGTGAAAATGAGTGGCTGAAGAGAGGACTTCCTTCTCCTGTGAAAGAGGCACTTGAACTGCTTGTAAAACTAGAGCCTTGCTGTGGTGCAGAGGACTGCTTAAGAAACAAATAAATCCATTCATACGATGTTTCTGATGAAATACCAGTTTTGAACTAGAACAAGGATCCCCCAAATGAAGTACAATGTGATTTTGTTACTGTTCTTACATCTACCAAGTCTTGATTTCCAACGATTTATTGAAAAATCTGCTGCGCGCCTTAGCTCTTTCAGTTTTGTCAGGATGGTAAGAAGCTGTTAAATAAATTTGCTTTATGATGAAATAAGCTGCAAATTACATATTTTAAGCCAATTTTTTGTGAGTTTCTAGCCAGCCTACCATTTCATTTTCATCCTGCCATAAACTTTCTGAATGTAGTGCCTAAAGCTATTCATGTACTAAGCTGAACTTTAAATAGTTTTCTAGAAGAGTTTTTTAATGCACAAACCCCACAATAAGAATAGGAAACACTTATTATTTGAAAAGCTACCACTTAATGATTGCAGATTTATTATGTTGTGTTTTACTAAATTTATTTATTTGCGTATTTAAATATTAAAGATTTTTCATGCTTTGTTCTGCTATTTTCATAAGTTAATTTTATAGTGCTCTTGCCTTTTGAAAAAAATAATGGCTTTTGGACCACTTGTCACCATATGGTAAGCGTAAGCAAGGTTTTTTGTTTTCTCCAGGTATTTGACTGATTTGTAATCCTGTGCTACGTTTTTAACAGTAACTCCTTCCCTCACCATGCTAAACCACCAGGTTCCCGGTTTGTTCTGAGACCAGATACCTGCTTTTACAAACCAGCTAAAACCGACCATGGCAGCTGTTACCTTGGAAAGGTGGGCGATTCCGTACTTCACTCACCTGCGAGATCATTTGTAGTCATTACAGTGGTAACTATTCTTGCTGTAAATTGAATGAATTCTGATTAGTGGAGTAGATACGACACGTTTGTACTTTCAAAACATGATGAAATACCTATTTTTCAGTAGAGGATACTCCTGCATGAAAATATACGTTGTATAGACATTCCCCCTTACAGTGCATCCACTCTTCAGTATTTTAGCTCAGAGATCGAGCTCTCACAGCTGAGTGACACTGTATTAAGGGTCTCTTTTTAATGAGAAAATCACTGGCATAATTAGAATCTTTGTATCTCTATCTGTCTATCTATCTCACTAGACTGGATGTGGTCGGAGTTTACTGCTTCTCTTTCTGTTCAGCCCCCTCCTTCGGTAGCTGAAATCGAGCTGCACCCACAATCGAGTTAGCATGACTTAACCACTGTGAATGTTCACATGCATGCTTTTAGGCTTCTGCAAATATGAGGAATTCAGCTTTCCTTCCCACAACAAATCTAAACGTTCATTATTTCACATTTGCAGCAGACTAAAACCATTTACAAAGTTTATTGCCATTGTTCAGCGAACATATCACAACTTCTAATTATTGACTTTAAAACATTTCTTTTCTGGGGAAACAGATCCAGCATCACTATGTTTTATAGTAAGAATATTTTAAACAAGTGTTGTGAATATGACAAAGGCACTCCTGACAAATAGCTGTAGAAGAACTGTTCATGCAGACCACGAGGTAATTAACATATGAACTGCACAAACCACTGTTCTTGGTACATTCTTAAATTCTCCTCTGTTGAGAAATATATTTACATGTCATCATAGAGTTAAAGGTGTTTAGCATTAAGTATTTGTCTGTAGATGACTTTTCAGAATTAGGATTGTCTAACTACAAAACTTAGCACCTTTTCACGCTGGATCACTAGTAATTTTATTAAATCCTAGAACATTAAAATCCCTTCCTTGTAATGACACTCCTTCAGTTATTTTAACTGTACCAGGTTCCTCTGCCCGTAGCTGTGTGTTTTCTAAGTTGAAGCGTCAGTATGACTGAGCTGGTGTCAATGGCAAAACTTGGTTTCAAGAGACTGCATGGTATCTGAGTGTCAGAAGTCAGCACTAAGGGAAGCTACGTTAGGCAAGATTTTTACCTACTATGACTGAGTAAAGACCTAGTGAAAGAAGCATTAGGAGGAGGAGATGCGGCTTTAAAAAAAAGAAACTCGGTGCTTCGCACCACATTGCCCATAGCTTACTTGCGCAGGTATATGCAGCCATACTCCAGGTCAAGGCGCTCACTTGTCCAGAATCTTTTGTCTGCCAGAGACACCGCAGCTGAGCCAGCTTACTGGCCGCACTGATGAGCGTGCACAGGTTCTGAAAAGCAGGTAAAAAAAGGGAAAGGACTCTGCCTCAGCCATTGTGTTGTCCAAGTGCTTAGCTTATGGCTGTTAGTAGGTAATTTACTAAAAACCAGGACTAGCTTTTTCATTCAGAATAAAAACATATATACTTTTTCAGTATTTTGCAACCCAAGCATTTCAGCTGCTTACTAAGGAACTGTGAAGCAAAAAAATTCAAGTTGCCAAAAGCAAGGAACTGATTTCTGAGGTGCTGCCCGGGAAGAAGCTCAAAGAGCACAACAATTGCTACTGCTGTTGGCAAATGCTTGATAGAGGCACATACAGTAAGAAGCAAAGAAATAAAAAAGCCTCTCAACCTGCTACATAAGACTGTTTATGAAAGTTAGCTAAAATGAGACTGATCTAGTCTAAACAGCCAGGTTGATTCAGACCATCTGTTACCATTCTGTCTGGCAAACAAAACCAGAAAAGAATGAGAAAACTGACAAGAATGTATGGAAAATGAGTCCAACTGGTGGGAAAAAGTAATGAAAGGAACCAACTATTCACCCTGTCATCCTTTCAAGGGGGATTTTGTGATGGCAGCAGCTAGAGGGGACCTCCACGTGGGTCTCTGTGGCATGCTCGGATTCCCTTTGCGAGCAAGGAGCGGTAGTAGGCTTAGAAGCTTTTATCCGCCTTTGTATCATCTTTTGCATTAGCAACTCCAGTTCATCCCAATTAAATTTTCACTTTCTTCTGATAAAAAGGGCAAAGACCATCTTTAACCTATGTAGGGCATTACTGGATGATATTTTTCTTGCAAAATTCTAGGACTAATGGGGGAAAAAGATCTCAAGAATTAGTTAGCATTCCCTATTTTAAATGCTTTGACTGATGCTCTAGTCTTTTCCTCTCCTGTTAAAGGTTTATTAGTGGGGATTATGACATTAGGACTAAAGAGGCAATCTTTTTTCAGCATCTTAAACCATTGATATTTTAAATTAAGGCACCACAATTAACAGCTTTACGTCAGAACATTTCTTTTTTCATAGTCTCCAATGCCAGCACTATGTTTTCCAGCTGCTCGCAGAAGTGAAACAGCTGTATTTGAAAACGGAGGTTGTTCTGGAAGCTAACCCAAATGATTAATTCTTCCAAAGACACACATAATGAGAGATTTCACTGATCAAGATGTCCAGAACAAAAGTTGTTTCATATGTGGCCCTAATTTCAAATAATCATGCGGCACTTACCATGGCCAGGTCTATTATCCACTTCCGCAGCGTTAGGATGTACCAGCCCCCCCAGAATCTTACATTATGTTAAGTTCCATAGCACTGAAAATTCTAGGATAATGCAGCTCTTGAAACTGCCTGGGGAATTAGATTTTTTTTTTAAACATCTGGAAAGGATCTTATTGAAACTTTGTAACAGACTATGCAATCTAGATAAAATATATTAAGCACTGGTTGAAACACTAAGTGTTCCTGTTTTTCACACTGTCTTTGGTTGAACAGTGCCTGGAGTTTCTCAAGAGCTTCTCCAAAGCACAAGACTTGAGATTTAAGCCCAAATCCTATTTAAAAGAAAAAGAACACACTGCTGTGTTCATCAGAGCAAGTACAGTCTGCATGGGTAGGAAGCAAGAAAAAAAGATTCATTATTTCCACCCTGCATGTGTAGCAAAAGTGTGAATTAAGAACTGGTCTTACTCCTTATCAGCTGTGGGCCTTCTCAAGCACAGCTACACGTAACGTTTACTTCTTGCAGAGATTTTACCGTGATCCCAGAGATCAGCATGTGAATGTGGAATGCATGCAGAGGGGTGGCTGAAAAGGATCTACAATGGTAGCACAAAACAAATGACGACATAGCTGCTGTGCCAAGAACTACCAAACAAGCTACATAAAATTTCCAGATTTCAAAGGATACGTGACTGCATACAACAAAGCTCGTTTCATGTTTCCACTGAAACGCAGAATAACCAAAAGGAGAATGACATCTGAAACAGACAAAAGACCGCTCATCAGAGAAGGGAGAGAAGGGGCCCAAAAGCACCCCTAGACAGTTCCACTGGGCACTGTGTCTACGGAGACCCATTTCTTACACGTTTTGTCTCTCAACTTGATTGATGTCCAAGCCACTGCAAGCTCCAAAATGAAGCTTTTCTTAGAGCCTGGAGTGTTTGTCGTGTTTCTCTCAGATGTGGAGTCACCGGATAAAGGATGAGCTTACACTGCAACTCCACCCTGTGTGTATTAATTAGATCTTTCTCCTCCACCTGACCATCTATTCTCATAAAATTTACAAGAATTCAATTATATTTGCGATGTTCATTCCCTCTTCCCCTCGTCTGCAGCTGGAACTGGTCAATGGATTCACGTCACTGCAGTGGAGTACCGTACCTCCATGCAGAGCCTCGGAGGGCTGAATGAGCCCTGTTTCATTTCCAAAACACAGCTTAAAAAAATTACCTTGTGCAATGATGATGGGATATTCCAGGTATGTCTGCAGAGGGTAACCGTAATAGATCTGGTACCTCAGAAACACAAGGAAGCTGAACAGAAGGACACAAAACAGCGTGACTGCACGAAAGGACAGCACCACTCCTTCACAACTTTTGTTACTGTTTTGGTTTTGCCAAAAGGCTCCAGATAGGCGTAGCCCCTGCTGTCAAACTGATCAAACAAATATGACAACAAAGTGCAAGCCAGACGATTCTGTAGTCTACTTCTGTTACCCTCAAACAGAATAAGATGTAGAGAACTGCCCACACTTCTTGTCAAGGTCTTTGTGTCATAGTGCATAAGGCATAATTTCATTAATTACAACTGACAAGAAAGAAAGAGCTCCAGACCTAGAAGATACCTTCTCTTTGCAATTGCCTTGGCACCTCTGGGATAACTCTGATTTCTTTCTTTATGCCTGTAGTTTAATCTATACATGAAGCAAGTTTTACAGGAGTTAGTTAGAAAACATCCTTCAAGCTGTCTAGACCACACTATTGCAAGATTGCCCAGTGCATCTGTACTGGTCAGACTGAGAGTCTGTTCTTAAGTGCCCCAAGCAATGGCAATTCTCCTTCCTGCCATTCCACAATACAGTATCTAAAAGGACTGAACTTTTATCGCATTTTCTTTACTTTCTTCAACTTTCATGCAAGTCCATGGGGTTAGACAGAAACTTCAAGGCTGCAGAGAAAACAGAAAGGGCATAGTTTTATGTAAAGAAAAAATGCTGGTTCCCAGCGCAGAAAGATGGCGTAAGGAACTGCCCACCTTGTAATAAACTGGCTTTTACAATATTCAGAATTTTAAAATGTGAACTTCCTAGAATTCTTATTTCTTGCAGGGTCAAATTCTACTCCTTGCCATCAGCACTACGCTTCTGTGTTGCACCTCTGTGGGGTCCCTGCATCCTGACTCTGCGGCACCATACCAGCTTGCACCAGTAGCCCCAGAGCTCCCGGAAACTGGACCCAAAGTCTTTAAAGCCTGCAGGGTAAATAGTTTACTAAATAAACAAACAGTCCCAATAAAAGTTTCAATAAAGCCTTGTTTGCAACTCTTCCAAAACGGTTTTGCCCAGAGCAGGTGGAGAGCCCGCAACGGTGTGGGTACTGTGGTTATCACGCCGGTGCTGAGGAGACATTCGTGGCTCCTCCATGCTCACCTGAAACATGACTTACAAAGCCTCTTTAATGCACACCAACACATACGAAACGTTCAAAAAACATGTAGATGCGGCACTGCGGGATATGGTTTAGCAGGCATGGTGGCGTTGGGTTGATGGTTGGACTTGATGATCTTAGAGGTCTTAGAGGTCTTTTCCAACCTATGATCCTATGAAAAGACCTTTAAGATCATCAAGTCCAACCTTCGTGAGTCCATGAATGACTTCCAAACGCTGGCACCGCTTTTTGGCCAGGGCTGTGGGGCAAGCCACCTCTGCCAGCGCCGATTTTCCTGAATAAAAAGCCCTTTTCCATCTTGGTGCAGAGAGCTGGGAGCCGTCCAGCGGGATGCTCTGCCCACCTCCACCCCTCGGCTCGGCAGACGGAAGGCTCTTCAAGGTATTTTCTCTCGCATGCTCGTGCCCATGCACAGAGCTCCCGTCTTTATTTTCCATTTAGTAAGTCTAATCCATGTAAGATTCCAGACCGACAGGCCTTTGGAGTTTGACGAGGTCTGTAATTTCCTCAAAGAACGACTACGCTTTACCGATGTGGGTGTGCAGCCCGTCCAACTGGTATGACCGCTGCACTGCCGGGCGCAGGGACCACGGAAAAGCCCAAACAAACGGCTCGATCGCAGCCGACGGTGCTGCCTCCAGCTGCCAGCTGG